AGATATTCCTAGTAAAGATACTCTGGGAAACTCCACTAGACCTCCGTACAACTCCGCTAAACCTACCGATATCCCTAGTAAATATCCAGACAATATTAAACCTACAGATATTCCTAGTAAAGATACTCCGGTCGCAACCTCTACTAATACTCCCACTAATACTTTACCCACCACAACTCCGACCAAGATTCCCGAAGATAAACAAACAGATCCCGCTGTTATATCATCGAATCCAGCACCAATCCCAACCGAGAATTCGAAAATTGCACCAAATGTCGCAGACAATTCCCCGAATGTGGTAAATTCTGCTGCCGATTCCTCACCAACTTCTAGTAGTTCGTTGCCAGGAACAACTTTCAGCATAGCTCCAATAGGTTTGACGATATTTAGTGTGATAATTTTAATTGGTATTGCGTTTGTTTTATATTCGAGATATAAAAATAGTAAATGGAAAAAACAATTTCGTCAGAGGCAAGAGGTAGCTGATTCAAATATTGCGATTGGTAGTAATGTTTAAGTTTTGTAATAACTGATAATGTAAAAATTTTACGTGAAATACCAGTGTTTTTTGGGATAAATTATGATTTAAATAAAAAAAAAAAAAAACGTAATTTCCAAAAAACTCACTTCAGTAGTCATTTTATTAGGTTTCATAGAGTATAAAAGGTCAAGACATGTATATATCGTTTATAATATATTTTCATCTTGTATTCTGATTCGCATGAACTTTTTTATGAACTTCGTATAAAAAAAAAAATAAAAATAAAGTTTATCCAAATCAGATTACCGGTATAACAAATTTGATCCCCAATTTGAGTCCCCAAAGGATTATTTTCCTAGAAAAGATCTCATATACAATGTCACCAGTTTATTCGTTATTTATGCTTATCAACTTTTGAAGAGACTTGATCTGAATGAAATGCATACCAAAATATCCGATATTTATTATGATTTTTATTCTTTAATTGGATTTTAATGAATTGAGAATATAACGATTAAAATAAATAATAATAATCAATTTATATAATTTGAACGTTATTTATCTAAAGGATTTATATTATATCCGCGTTAACTATCACAAATCTAACCAGTATTCTTGTTCGTTTAGCCAGAGTTTGATTTAATGGTATAAGCTTAATACTGTGTGCTTTATTCTTGTCGCGAATGATCGTGAAATTGAAATTTAGAGTCCCTATTTAAATCCATAAAATCCACATATACAGTACTCTTTTATTAATAACCTAACCCTAACCCTTAAAAAATTTCGCGTCCGTGACATTTGTTTATTATTCAAAAAACTTTTTTTAGTTATAAACAATCAGAGGATAATTCATAATTCAAGTGATCAAATTACGATTGAGCACAAACCCTATTAGGAGATGGTAATATACGCGTTTTTTTTTTCAAAAACATTCTCTTACAAAAAAAAAAAAAAAAAAAAAAAAAAAAAAAAAAAAAAAAAAAAAAAAAAAGTTTAAAAAGTTTTTTAAAAAAGAAGATTAAAATATTTTTTTATTCCGTATGGTCGGTTAACTAAATTAATTATCTGACTTTGAAGAGAAATAGGGTAGATATTCGGAAACTACACCTTTCGCTCTATATCTGATATACAGTCAAAATAATCGCTAAAACAAAACAG